CAAGGTGGGCAAGCTGACCCTCAAGACCACCGAGATGGAGACGATATACGACCTGGGCACCAAGATGATTGAGTCCCTGACCAAGGACAAGGTCCAGGCCGGGTGAGCAGCGGCGGGCCGCCCCGCGCTCAGGGTGGGGGAGCTCGGGCACCTCCCTTTCCTCACTCCCGCCTCCTTCCCCTGCAGGGATGTGATCACCATCGACAAGGCCACGGGCAAGATCTCCAAGCTGGGCCGCTCCTTCACACGCGCGCGCGACTACGACGCCATGGGCTCCCAGGTGCTCCGGGCCCTGGGCACCCTCCCTCCAGGCACCAGCATGTTCCCCTGGATCCTCCCGTCACCCAACCCCCTGTCCCTAGTACTCCTGGCTCTTCCCTGTACCCTCTGGGACGGGGCCCCGCAACCTGGCACTGTGCTCACGGTTCCCGAGGTCCCCAGGAACCCCTGTGCCCTCAGGGCTCTTGGCTACCTTCTGGGCCTGGGGTTTCCAGGTTACCCCCATCTGGATTCCCAGCCCCTTTCCAGGAAGCCCCGACCTCCCCCAGACAGAACCCCTGTGGGCCCCCTTCATGCTCTTCTCCGCCTTGTCTCCACCCCCCACCCCACCCCCATGCTGCCCCGTAGACCAAGTTCGTGCAGTGCCCAGACGGGGAGCTCCAGAAGCGCAAGGAGGTAGTGCACACCGTGTCCCTGCACGAGATCGACGTCATCAACTCCCGCACCCAGGGCTTCCTGGCCCTCTTCTCAGGTAAGACCCAACCATCCACTCATCCCCCCTGCTCCCCGCTCTCCCCATCCTCCCATAGGGCCCGCCCCTGCCCCGGCTCTTCTTCAGTCCCTGGCTGTCTTCTGTTCTCCCTCTGTGTGTGATCCGTCCCTCTCCCTCTGTGCCAAGTCCCCTCTCAGTGGTTTGATGGGGGTACAGCCCTCCTTCTCTCCGTCCTGAGTTCCCTTCCTCCTCTCGGGGGACATCGCAGACCCCTCGCCCTCCTGTCGCTCATCCACGCCAGTCTCGGTCTCCCTTCCCTCTGTCCCCTGTGCCCTGTCACCCCTGCCTGTGCCCTGTCTTCCTCCGTCTTCGCCCACGTCTGGCCCCAGAGCCCTGTCTCCTCTCTGACCCCCGCCCCCTGTCACCCCTGCCCCCCCCAGGTGACACAGGGGAGATCAAGTCAGAGGTCCGAGAGCAGATCAATGCCAAGGTGGCCGAGTGGCGCGAGGAGGGCAAGGCGGAGATCATCCCTGGGGTGGGTAC